GCAGACTATTCTCTCACCTGGAAAAAAAATGATAACTTTGTCCTATTTTTTTCTATTGCCTGTTACTCTCAATTCTGCTTTATTTCTTCTTGCACTAGAACTTGTAGAACCGTGGTAAATAACAGAAGCGATGGTGGGCGTTCTTACCTCATTTTTTATTTTACTGGGAATATTTCTAGGGTCTGACCTTTAAGAAGGCTTGTTGGTTGAAAGAAAGTCCCCTTCCTCTTACGGAAGACATGGTTTTCCATTGGCTGAGCCAGAGATGAACCATCAGCACATTCTTTTCTGCCCAGGATGAGGCTTGTTTTCACCAGAAAGCCAGTCTCTGCAACTGATTCACTTTGACACGCCAGGAAATCTACCTTGGTTCTCTCTTCCGTTCCAGACCTCTTCCCGGGGTCCTGCGGTCTGTGGGTTCTCACAGCCTAGGTCTCACACCTGCCCTACCCTGCGTGCGTGCACATTGCCTCTCCCCTGTAACCACCGGATCTGCGCCCAGATCACCTCCCACCACCGATCCTCCTCCCAGTTTACCACAGTCCTGCTTTCTGCTTCCCTCTGCCCCAGGGCCTTGGCTTAAACTGTGCTGGGTGAGTGCTTGTCCCTGTGTCCTGCCTCATCCTTGCAGGGAAGATGCTTTCAACGTCTCTCTTGGTTCCACCCTCTGCGGTTCGTGGGCAAGTCCAACCCATCCTGTTTTTCTTAGATTTACTGATAGGGGGAAATACTCCTGAGAAAAATGTAAGTGAGAAGAACATCATGATCTCAATTTTATAAAACCATTTGTGTGTGAAAGCATGGAGGGGGGGGAAAAAGTCTGGAAGGAAATATACAGCAATGCTAAACAGTGGTTATTTCAGGGAGCTGGCAATGTGCTCTTTGCATGAACAGCCAAGTTCACTTTTTGATGAGTCGTGATGGCAGCAGCTTCCTTTTCAGCGTGGAGTCTTCCTCAGGGAAATTCTTGATTCCCTTTCGTTTTAGATTGTTTTTTTAAATCTCAACCTGGCACCAATGTGTCTCTTCTGGTCCTAAAATACCTACCAAAACCAATGGTAGTAATAGCTATAATTTATTGAGCTCTTACTATGTGCCAAGAGCTGTGCTAAGTGGTTTACGTCATTGCCCGATTAAAAGAGTATGTGCTGAGAATACCAGCCGACGCTCTGTCTGCTGTTAGAGGCTCCGTTCATTCTCATGACAACCCCCACGACATTATTGTTGCTGTCGTCATTCTACAGAGGAAGAAACTGAGGCTGGGGGAGGTAATTCGCCACAGGTAGCTCAAGTGCCAGAGAGCCAGGTGGGGAATCTGGCCAGCTGGAAAGTTCGCACCGGTCTCCAGGGGGCGGCCGACTCCCCAGGTGCAGGGGAGAATTTTCACATGGAGATGTGGGACAGAGATCCCCATTTTTTTAACAGAAGCTGTAAATGAGGCTTTCATGTGACATATCCTGAATTTTAAATTGCAGCAACATATTGAACTTAAAAAAAAATACATCAAAATAGGCATTAAACTACAGCAGGTAAAAAATAAAACAAACCAGGCAAAAACACCAAACAGAACATTCCATGACCCAGATTTGCCCTAGATGTTATCCCCTTCAGAAGAACCAGCTCGGATTATGTCCTCCGAGAGTCCCCGGAAGGCCCAGACTCCTCTTTTTGCGTTCTCTCACCGGACAGGGATCTTCAGACCACAGATCAGCAAGACCTTCCCCAGCCAGATAGTAAATATTTTTTGGCTTTGCTGTTTCTGCCACAACTCCGCGGCTCTGCCATCATAGCGTGGAAGCCGTAAACAAACAGGCACGGTTGTGCTTCAATACAATCTTATTTGCAGACACTGAAATTTGAATTTCATGTAGTTTTTTGCGTGTCATGAAACAATATTCTTCGGGTTGTTTTTTTTTTTTTTTTTTTTTCCAGCCATCTAAATATGCAAAAACCATTCTTAGCTCATGGGCTGTGCAAGAACAGGTGGTGGGTGGCTTGAGACCCTAAATACCGGGGACTGTTTCTCCGGGAGCTTCCAGTGTTTGCTGGCTCTAAGCTCTAGTTTCCAGGTGTGAACCACCTCGGGTAAGGCCCGGTTCGCAAGCAGGTGCAGACGTGCGTGGAGCTCTTTATTCCCACGTGGATCCGACGGGTCTGTCTCAGTAACGTCCACATTTCGTTCTCAGCTCCAACATTTCTTCCTATGAAAGCCTTTGTGGTGCCTGTCAAACAACTAACAGTAGGCGGTCCTACAACCACCACCTTTGCCTTGCTCGGTGGTCCCCAGCATAGATTATGGGGCAAAAAAACATGGTTGGTGGAAAAAAATCACTCACTGGTCCGATTCATTTCCACAATTGGTGGCTGTGGATAGACCACGAAATTATCATAAAGCCACCTGGCCCAGGATGTTGCTGGCAACTCTCAATGTGTGGAAGAGAGTGCAGTTCACAACAGTGGTTAGGACTCTGGCTTTGGAGGGGCACCTGGGGGGCTCTGTTGGTTGAGCGGCCGACTCCTGGTTTCAGCTCAGGTCACGATCTCACCATTCGTGAGTTCGAGCCCCACATCAGGCTCTGTGCCGACAGCTCAGAGCCTGGAACCTGCTTCAGATTCTGTGTCTCCCTCTCTGTGCTCCTCCCCACTCACTCTCTCTCTCTCTCTCTCTTTCTCTCTCAAAAATAAAAAAACATTTAAAAATTTTTAAATTTGGAGTCAGGCAGACTTCCATTCAAGCATGCCACTTATGAGAATGCCATTTATGGCTGTGTGCCTTGACGAAATCATTCATTTTCCTAAGCCTTTGTGTTCTCGCCTGTAAAAGGGGATCAAAATGCCAGGTACTTCATAAGGCAGTTTTGAGAGCTAACAAGGATAAAACATGTAAAGGAATTAGGTTAGCACCCAGTGCATGACATGGGCTCAGCGTGTGTGACTTCCTATGACTTATTATTCAACTAGCTGGAAGGGAATGGGGTTTACAAACTAACAGGAATATGCGAATGGAACTCTAAAATCTAAACAACAAAAAAAGGAGCGTCTGGGTGGCTCATTCGGTTAACCATGCACTCTTGATTTCGGCTCAGGTCATGATCTCGTGGTCCTGAGATCGAGCCCCACGTTGGGCTCTGCACTGACTGTGGAGCCTGCTTAAGATCCTCTCTCTCTCCCTCTCTCTGCTCTTCTCCCCCATTCACTCTCTCTCTCTCTCTCTCTCTCTCAAATAAATATTCAAAAATTTTTACACAGTCTGAACAAGAAAAAAAAATGAAGGCTTTTTCTTTCAATATCAGGGAAGAAGCTATGACTTTGTGTTTCTTCCAAGAATTTCCTTTAATCTGCAAGTCTCCTCTCCAGGACCCTCTCCTTGGTTCTGTGTCCACCCTTTGCCTGGTGAGCCGAGAATCAGAACCAAGGAGATGTTCTGCATATCGCATCACATTTGTTGGGAAATGCCTCTGGCTCGGAGCCTACTTGTAGCAGGGGTTAAGTGCATGACACTCATTATTACAAGATAATAATCGACATAATAATAATGGCTACCTTTCATAGTCTAATGGTGAAAACCACAGGCTTTGAAGCTTGGATTCCAATATCGATTCTTCTCCTCTCCAGCTGTGACACCTCAGTCTCCTCTGTGATCTGGGTTGCCTCATCATCAAATGTCAGGATTAATAGCCCCTACCTCCCAGGGAGGTGGACAAGAGTCACTGAGAGAAGGGATGTCAGGTTTCAGCTCTGTGCTTGGTCCACTGGAAGCATTGAATAAGCACTAGCTGTTATGATGGCACGCCTGGAGTTTTGCAAAAATTATCTCCACTTCACATACTTTATTTAATCCTTATAGTAACTGTGCTGCAGTATAAGGCCAGATCTGTGTGATCCAAAACCTTGTCTACTCTCCATGACATCACACTGCCCCTCCCCTCCATGCCACCTTCTCAGGCTGGGATGAGAACAATGATGCATAATGTCCTGCTGGGTTAAGGTGAGGAGTTCAGAAATTGCTGTCATTTATAAGAACTGGCGCAGCCATTAGCTGCCCCAGAGATTGGTTAATTGCCTAGTTAACAAACACCCACAATGACTATCAAATACCCAAAATGATTTAAGTCAAACTGATATCAGGGGCACCTGGGTGGCACCGTTAAGTGTTCAACTCTTGATTTCTGCTCAGGTCATGATCTCAGGGGTTCGTGAGGTCGGGCTCTGCACTGACAGCACAGAGCCTGCTTGGGATTCTCTCTCTCTCTCTCTCTCTCTCTCTCTCTCTCTCTTTTGCTCCTCCCCCACTCTCTTTCTGTCTCAAATAAACATTTTTTATAAACTGATCTTGAAGAGAAAAAAGGAAGCAAATGCTGACAGTTTCTGCAAGAAACCTGTACATTCTGTGTCTCCTGAAGGCGTGGGCCACACAGCCAAGCACAGCAGACTATGACTCAGGGTAGGAGAAGGACTGAGGGGATAGTCCCGTGTCCGATATGAGCAGGATCAGGGGCAGTGTGCTATTCCTGAAGCTACGCCCAGGATAGACACCTGGGAGTCAGCAGATCATGATTGGAATGCTGGCTCCCCTATTTACCATGTGCGCTCAAGCAAAATTCTTAGGCCCGTTTCCTCATCGATAAAACAGAAAATTAATACACACAAACTCCATTTCCTTCTTTTTTTCCTCTCCAATTGTGTGTGTGTGTGGGGGGGGGGGATAGATAAAGCAGTCCTCATAATGAATGATTATGTTTCATAGCTATTTGCCCTTCCCAATAGATCTCAACGTCATGCAAAAAATCTAGGAGGCAAAAAAGTTAAGTCTTCTGCTTCTTTTTTTTTTTTCCTCCTCTACTTGTCTCTCTTTTGTGTCCCAGACAGATGCTGACGGGCCAACAATATGCACAGCCAGCAACAACCATGGAAGGATCTTCACCGTAGGGGTGAGGACCCAGGCTCACCCCAGGGGCTCTGGCTCCTCCCCCAGCTCAGGCCCACATTTGTTTCCACAGGGGCTTTCCGAGGAGTGTGCAAGAAAATCGATCACTTCCCTGAAGACGCAGACTATGAACAAGACACAGCAGAGTACCTCCTGCGTAAGTTTCCACTTCTGGGGTCTCCCCCAGGGTGGGGGGGACAGGGAGGGGAGGGTGGCCCTGCAGTCACCCGGCTGCCCCTGAGGCTCCTCAATGCTCACCCCTGGAAATGGATACTCCAAAGGAGCTTCTGGGACCTTTGCTACTAGACAGAGACATTCAAGCGATTCTGATATCTAAGTCTCTTTAATGTCAATAAACCAGAAATAGAAAGGGGAAAAGTAGGTGAGTCAAAACTGAAAGGTTCTTTTTAGTCTGCTTAGGAGAAAATCTAAGGAATTTTCTTCAACTAGAACACAAGTTTTTGCCTTCCTGAGAGAGTTGAGTTGAGGTATTAATGGGCACGGTCCTAAGGAGCAAGCCCTGGGAGAACAGATGTAAATCCAAGTTCACTCTCTGCAGTTTCCATCCTATTGGGGCAGGGCCAGCATCTGGGCTGGGGTTGTCCTGAGATCAGTAATCTGGATCTGACGCGGGACTGTCACAAAGGCAGCACGTGAGGGGCAGAAGAGATGATGGCTTGGTGTGAGGTTTCTGGGTTCTGGTTGGTCTGGGCTTTTACCCTTGTCTGACTCCCTACTGGCTGGATTAAACCTGGGTCAAATTGCTTAACCTTTCCATCTCTCAGCTGTCTTTATCTAGTCGGATATGGAGATGATAATGTCATCTACGTGACAGGCTCAAGAAATTTAACTGAGCTCACACACGTTACCCTCAGCCCAGGGCTCAACTTGGAATGATGAAGCAATGTGGGCTCTCTCTTTTCTGTCACACGAGACAAGCATAGCAAAGTCCAGCTGCAAATAGGGGCCTGACATTGATCTAGGCACAGAGAGAACTTGGGGCTTAACATAATCTAAATGTAACTTCTTCAACAAAATGTGTGTCAAGTTCAGACAAAAGGGAATTTCAAAGGCATTGACTAAATTTACTGTTAGGGAATGTTAAAAGTAAGGGGTGTTTTTTTTTTTATGGCTATTACAAATAAAAACTTCAAGAGGGGCACCTAGACGGGTCAGTCGGTTAAGTGTCCAACTTGGGATCAGGGCCTGATCTCGAGGTTCAGGAGTTCGACCCCTGAGCAGGGCTCTCCACTGTCCACACAGAGCCTGCTTCAGATTTTCTGTCTCCCTCTCTGTCTCTCTCTTTCTCTCCCCTGCTTTCTCTCTCTCTCTCTCTCTCTCTCTCTCTCGCGCGCGCGCGCGCGCGCAAAAATAAACTTTAAAAATAAAATAAAATAATAAAAACTTCAATAAATTGTCCTATTCAGAGTATGTTTGTAACTCGTAGCTCAAGAAGAATGGTGTTTCAATTTCAACCATTTTTAGCCGTACTCACACCTGTTAGTCTGCAGACGGACTGTAAGTCTCTATATGAGCCTTGAACCACATTACAATGTAAGGGGTAGTAGGGTCGATTAAGAAATAGTTGTTTTTAAGATGATTTTTAAAATGTAAACATACCATTTCTCTGTTTGCGGTCCTTATGCATCTGGTAGGATTTATCCAAATGCCTACGGGAATTTGTACCAGCAGCAGAAAAATTTGGTATGGGGACTACAGGCCACATGTAGAGATGTTGCTTCGTACACGGACCTCCTCAGAAGAATGACCTTAGTGTCATCTCCAGGGGGATTTTACTGAGTACGCATGGTTTTTCTTTGTTTTTCTTTCCTGCTTTAATGCAACATGGTGATGTTTGCCCTGCTGGAGGTGAAACACAGCTATAACTTCTATTTCACAACTTGCAAAACTGATTTAAGTTCTTCCCAGAGGTGGATTGCTTTTCCAACAGAGTATTTTGCTCCCCCTAAGAAGGTGACGGTCCTTGCCCCCATCCCACGGTCTACCCACACGTCACTGGCCACAGAATCAGGCTGAGGTTAAGGAGAGGCCTTTACGAGTACACGAATGTCCCGCTGGGAATTTTGGAATCCCCGACCCCACCACACGGAGCCAGGGGTGCGCTCCTGCAGGGGTCTGCAACCTCAACTTACCCCTAGATAGTTTGGGGAGGAAGAACAGTAGAGGAAAGAAGTAAGTAGGGGAGGAAGACAGTAAAACGTTTTTGTTTGAAGCCCCCTTGTGTCCATAGAGCTAAAATGAAAGTAGACTAAATCACAGAAGCAACGTCCTGAGGCAGACACCTGCAACCCTGTGTCTCGTTTGTGGGTAAAGAGTGAGTCTGGCCACCAGCTGGTTGCCACGTCGTTACCGCAGCCACCTTGCAAAGTTGCACCTTTATAAGCAACACAATTCAAGAGCGTCAAACGTTCAGATTGTCTCCTTTGTGCATGATCATAATTTAATCATGCTTTGAATTTTTTTTTTAATTTAAAGGCTCTTTCAATCAATTAAACTCATCACATTGAATATTTGCGCAATTCCTGCCAATATACAATGCGAACGAATGCTTTAAAGGTTTGTTCGCAAGTTTCCCTTGAAGCCGTTGGAGGCAGATCAACCCCTGATATTTGTGGGGTCCCAGACTGAGGGTCCAAATGGAAGCCCATAAGTCATACGTGTCAATATTGAGAAGTTATAAATGAGCTGTGCCTGCAGCCAGGCTCATGTGCCCACCCGGGACTCCAGAGCCCCCCTCCCCAGGGTACCCCTCAACTGGGGGCTAAAGGAAGCAGGGAATCCAGCCTCTCCCAAAACCTCACCATGGAAGCAGAGTGTTGGGAGGGACGCTGTTATGGGGCCCCGGGTCTGCCCAGACTCCAGTGCTGGGTATGTGGGTGGCTGTCTTTAAGCAAAAGCAAACACTCTTTCATTTTCTTCTCATTAAGAGAACCTCACCCTTGTGTGCCCGCACACCCTCACCCCACGTCTACTCCAATGCCCTTCCCAGGCAGCCCCCTTGGCTAAATCAGCTACCAGACTTTCAGAAAACTTTTGTGACATGACATTAAGTTGTAGAAAGAGTTTGGCAGTTGGCACATAAGCACCTCCGTGCAGTAGCAAAGAGAAACAGCAGGGGTAGGGTCACCATGAATGGAGGCTTGAAAGCCTTGAACCTTCAGCTTTGAACTTCCCAAGGCCAAAAATGAACTCACACCCTTCCTGCCGTGACCCCCCCCCCCCCCCCCCCCCCCACCCACTGCTGCACCTGCACATGCCCTAGGCATTTTGGGCACCACCCTGAGCTCAGCAGCATGGCACCCAATATGGGCACGGTTTTCAGCTCCTGTGTCTCCCACCACGCACTGCCAGTTCTGGTGGCTTCACCTTAGGATCATATCCTGGGGCGCCTGGGTGGCTCGGTTGGTTAGCACCCGACTCTTGGTTTTGGCTCAGGTCATGATCTCGGGGTTTGTAAGTTCAAGCTCCACATGTGGTTTCACGCGGACAGCTTGGAGCCTGCTTGGGATTCTTTCTCTCTCCTTCTCTGTCTGCCCCTCCCCTGCTCTAAATCAATCAATCGATCGATCGATCAAAAGAAATATACCCTAAATCCTACAACTTCTCACCATCCCCGGCCCTTCCAAGAGCCTCATGGTGTTCAATTCTCTCCAGTCGCCATCTTGAAATGCTTAATGTTGGAACAAGAGACCTTGCATTTTCATTTTGCGCTGGGGCCTGCAAATGACATAGCCATGTCTGACTGTCAACTCAACTGGCTTGTAAGCCCCATGAGACCTGGGACCCTAACTCTTTTGTACACCGTGAACATGGAATTTATTCAACTGGTATATTCTGGTCTGGACAGACCAGGAAATACCCTTATACTGGCTGGGTAAATATTGGAACCCCTACCATAGGACCCCTCCCCAAGGCCTAAGGGGCCTCCCTTAGGGCCTTTCCATGATCCAGCAACTAAAGAGTTAACACAGGGGCCTCCAGGAGCTGCTCCAGCCCCTCAGCCAGCCCCTACTTTGAAGGGCAGCTCCTGTGCCCTGGGGGTGGCCGCACATGTCCACTGGTGGTACCTGAGGGCCCAGCACAGCGCCTGGCATCCAGTAGGTACACAGTAACATTGTTGCATGGATAAGTAAACTCCTTTGTTCATTCGGTGACTAAGTGGGTATCAAGAGAATATTGCCAGACCAAGGAATAGGCAAAGATAGGTGTGCAGTGGGAAAAGGCTCTGCATTTTGGCCAACAGCGTGTGAGCCGACGGGAGGGACTCTGGGTGCAGGGCTGGCTACAGAATTGGCATGGCCCAGGGTGAAGGAAGATCCCAGCTCCTCCTTCAAAACACAGGCAAAAAAGCTTTTTCTTCTTTTCTGTTCTCTCTTTCTCTTGATCTGTCACAGTGTCTTTTATTTGCCTACCTAATGTCACACTACCCCGAGGGGCATGGAGACACTCTGAGGGGTGAATGCATAGCTTTGCAGGTGCCTGGGGCTCGCACCGAACCCTGACCCTTCCTCCGTCCGTGCCCAGCCCCCATCAGGAACGAAGGGTGCCAGTGATCACTGGTTGGGGCAGGAGAATGGGCAGCTAAGATCCCATCCCAAGGAGAAGGGGGTGTGGGAGACAGAGACGATGACACAAGTCAAGGCTCCGAGTCCCCTAGTGCAATGTCTGTGGGCCCATCAGGCTTCACTTCTAAAACGCAGTTCAAAGACAGACTGATTCAGAATTTCAGGACGGCGACTGGAGAGCGTTAGCACCGAGCACAGAGCCCTGAGCGGCCGTACTGGTCTCACACCCATGTTAGATGCAGGCTCTGTCCTCCTCCGCAGGTGCTGTTTTCCCCAGGGGCGCCTGTGCCTGGGATGGGTGGATCCCGGGGCTGGCGGGGACGCAGGTGGAACCCTCTCCCCTTCTCTCCGCAGGAGCTGTGAGGGCCTCCAGTGTCTTCCCCATCCTCAGCGTCACGCTGCTCTTCTTTGGCGGGCTCTGCGTGGCGGCCAGCGAATTCCACCGAAGCAGACACAATGTCATCCTCAGCGCGGGCATCTTTTTCGTCTCTGCAGGTGAGCTTCCGGCCCCGGCCCCGAGGTCCTCACAGGCACCAACCCCCAGCCAGGCCCACAAGGACAGAGCAGTGCTATTCAGGGTTCCGTCCAGGGCAAGAGCGAGAAAATACTCCGCTCGTGTGAAGAATGAAAAGCCAGGGGCCCCTGGGTGGCTCAGTCAGGTGAGCCTCCAAGTTTGACTTCTGCTCAGGTCATGATCCCAGGGTCGTGGGATGGAACCCCGCACCAGGCTCTGCTCTGGGCGTGGAACCTGCTTGGGATTCTCTCTCTCCCTCCCTCTGCCCCTCTCCTCTGCTCTCCCTGTCTCTCTCTCTCTCTCTCTCTCTCTCTCTCTCTGAAACAAAATTAAAAAAAAAGAATGAAGAGCCACAGACTTCACTTAGAACCAAAGATGCTGATACACGAGGGTGGCATCATAGGAAGGCAGGAGACTAGGGTGGCAGGATCAGCTCAGAGGGGGACAGGGGCTGACTAGTGAGACAGCATATGTATGGTGACCCTTGAACGACATGGGTTTGAACTGCGCGGGTCCACTGAGGAATGGATTTTCAGTAAATGCATACAGTAGTGGAAATGTATTTTTGTCTTCCCTATGGTTTTTTTAATGGCATTTTCTTTTCCCTAGCTTACTTCATTGTAAGAATACAGTATAGAATACATAGAACAAACAAAATACAAGTTTGTTGACCGTGTTCTCAGTAAGGCTTCCCGTCAACAGTAGGCAATTAGTAGTTAAGTTTTGGGAAAACCAAAAGTTAAACACAGATTTTTGACTGTGTGGGAGGTCAGCACCCCTAACTCCCCTGTTGTTCAAGTGTCATGCTTGCGTGTAGGGTGGGGGGCAGGTGTGGTGCGTGTAATGTGTGACCTGAAGGACTGGTTCAGTGTGCTTTGACGGGGTCCGCCTTTCTGTTCACTTGGGCACGTCTGGCCCTTTGAGACGTGTCACGGCTTTCCAAGGGCTCAAATCCTCATATTGTTCAAAGCGTCTCCGGGAACCAGGTAAAAAGCCAGCAGCCCCGGATGCCCTCTGGGAAGAGCTCATAACCAATACCTGGCCTGTCCAGAAGGTGGCGAGAAGGATGAGTCAGTTCGGGAAGGGGCCCTATGCTCTGCCTTCTCTCTCCTCCCCCCATTTCCATCCCTCCTCCACCCGCCTCATTTCCTCTCTTACCCCTGCGTTTCCATCCCCCCTTCCATCTCTTCCCACCCCACCCCTCATCCAGTGCCCTCAGGACGAATACTTTAGAGAAGCATAGAACAAGGTGGGTGGGGGAAGGGGACTCAACTCTGGTGGTGGCCTTCCAACTTGGCCCAGTGATGGCAGACTATTTAGCAGGGTGGGAACGGTAGAAGAAGAAATGGTGTGTAAAGGGGGGACTTTCCTTCTAGATGTTAATTCTGGCTCTACCTGGGTGAGCCTCGGGAACCTCCCCGACTCCCCATACCCTGGTTTCTTCGACTGTAAAATGGGAAATAATAATAGTATCCACGTCTCAGTGTTGTTGGAAAGAGGCTGACCATAAAAAGCACAATATTATTTTATTTTCTTTTTTAAGTTTATTTTTTTTAGTCATCGCTACACATAACGTGAGGCTCGAACTCACAGCCCCGAGATCGAGAGTCACATGCTCTTCCGACTGAGCCAGCCAGGTGCCCCCCAATATTATTTTCTAGTATTGGAAAAGCAGCAACAACATGGCTCCAAAGTCTAAAACCCAGCGCCCTGCCCCCCTCCTAGACCTTGCCCCCATTCTTCCCCCACTGTTTGCCCTGGGAAACAGGAAAACGGGGAAGTTGAACCACACCAAATCCAGCAACAGACCAGAGAGAAAGCCGCCATCTTGCCATGGGGATGTGGTCAGCTGACCACGCTCTGTGTGGACTGACGGTAGCAACTGGGAAACTCAGGAGTTTGTGTGGCTTTGAGGCACGTTCTAGTCATCTGCGGCCTGTCCAGGACCCGCTGGGCTCTGACTGACCCAGTGGATAATGCATTGTGCTGACATTCGGGTTTCCCATGTGGGAGAAGGATCATTATTTTGTCCCCCAAGGGGATTGTCAGGGAAGAGTGTGTCACCAGCAACTTCTTTCTCACAAAGGGTATTGTGAAAGATGGCAGGTGGATCGGACACATGGGGACTGGGAAACATGAGGGGCAGCAGTGAAAGCCCTGAGGAGAAGCCAGAAGCTTGGGGTCTATTCCTAGACACCCCCATCTCCCAAAGGAATGCCAAAATGCCTCCATTTTCCCACCTATAAAATGAAAGTGTCAGAGGATTCGGCACTCTCTAAGGCTCTTTTTTGCTCAGCTCTTCTTAGGATCTGAGGTTTCAGGCAAGCAGTCAACAACCTTTTGTTGAGCACCTACTACGGGACAGGCACTGTGCATAATACGGAGGAGCATAGGCTCTGAAGCCAGGCTGCAGGGTGCAAATCTTGGCTCTACTACTTCCCAGCTGTGTAACCTTGGGCAAGTCCCTTCACCTCTCTGTGACTTAGTTTCCTTATCTGAAAAGTGGGGGTAACGATAGCCCTACTTCTTGAGGCTGTTAAGAGGCTGAAATGAGTTGGTATTTGTAAGATGCCTAGGATAGCACCTAGTACACGGTAATCACTTACTACACAGGAGCTGCTGGTATATACATTGCACCTGTTAATTCTCGGGCAACTCAATGTGCCTAGTCATTCAGGAAACACTCTTGGCTATGGCCAGGCTCTGGGCTAGGAGATGGGGCCAAAGCCATGAACAGAGCCAGCCTAGGTCTGCCCTCAAGATGTTGACAGTCTAGTGGTTGGGAGAAAGTGATTGCCCACCTACATCTTGTTCTTCCTAAAATTTGTTACTGAAATCTAAGTGCGCTGTGGCCAAAACACAGTCCTGGGTTCAAATCCCACCTCTACTATTTCCTAGCACTGTTAGCGTGGAAAGTTACATATCTTCTCTGTGCCTCAGTTTCCTCTTCTGTAAAAGAGGGTTAGAGGCACCTGGCTGGCTTAGCTGGAAGAGTGTGCAACTCTTGATCTCAGGGTCGTGAGCTCTAACCCCACGTTGGATGTAGAGATTACCAAAAAATAAAGAAATAAACTTTTAAGAGAGGATTAATTTTTTTTAATTTTTTAAGTTTATTTATTTATTTTGAGAGAGAGAGAGAGAGAGAGAGAGCACGCGTGCGCACAAGCTGGGGAGGGGCACAGAGAAGGAGAGACAGAATCCCAAGCAGGCTCTGTGCCATCAGCTCAGAGCCTGATGTGGGGCTCAAACTCAAAAACTGTGAGATCGTGACCCAAGCTGAGACCAAGAGTCAGATGCTTAACCAACTGTGCCACCCAGACTCCCCAAGGGAGGAGCAGGTCGGTTGTAATAACTGAGATGGTGCATGTTAAGACTTTGTACAGTGCCTGGCACATGGTAAGAGCCCTATAAGTTAATGGCAAGTCACTTGGCTTCCTGCCTCCTTTAACCTGGTCTGACATCCAGGTCTTTCTTTGAACTTCTCCCCCTCCCTCCTCCCCCTCCCCCAAAAAAGGCTTCCTTGAGGGGCTTCCCAAACTTTGCCACCAGAATTTCCCTGCTAGCAGAGGAGAAAGAAAACATGGCCCTGGGGACTCGGGGGGCATCACTAGAAGCGCCTTGAGTGAGCTGAAATGTCTTTGAAGTCTGTCTCCCATTTACACTTAAAAATTCATGTGAATTCTGCTCTCTCCTCCTTATTATATCCATGTTCATTTTAATATAAAAGAATGTGTCTTCCCCACTAATCTTCAAGCCGAATTGACACTCCAGAAAGAGAAGGAGTTTTTCATCCTGTGGTTTCCTGCAGCCTGACACGGGCTGTCTGTGTCAACGCCCATGTTTAGAAATAGCTCAGTGATTAGAACTCGCTGCCTACCTGCTGGATGCCTGCGTAGGATCATGCCTGCAAGAGGAGACGGGGCAGAAGCAGACCCCCCAGCCCGCCTTCCTGAAGCAAGTCCTAGATGGAGAATGAATGGCCAGAGATCATAATCCAATATTAACTCCCCTCAATGCACGTGCACCAGCAGGTCAGAACAGCACTGGAGCAGAGTCTCGTGGCCCCTGCCGTGCCCAGCTTTAACCCTTTAGTTGATGGACCACTGGGGAGACCTTGGGGATCCACAAGAAGAGTACGGAGCAGTCAAGGACCAGAAAGGGAGCACAGGAGGCCGCTGGATCTGGTTATTCACCAGCTGTGCTAGGAACTGTAACGAGGGCCTCCATTTAGCCCCGCCCTAAAATTGGAGGCAAGGAGATGCCAGCCGATATACCAACTCCCCCGAGTCAATGTTGGTATCACACCCTGGAAGAGACAAAAAGAGAGACTCAACCTTTGGAACAGTAATGTGAGGAAGGTGGTCAGAGATCATCACAGCCCCTGGGTCCTCAGGTTCTGTTGTTTCTTCTTACCACTCCCTAGAGAATCAGCTCATCTCTAAGTGACTATTTCCAGGGCTACTCCGATGGCACTTAGGGACACTAAGTCTGCAGGCCATGCCTACTGGGGACATCGGCTTTGCGCTCCCCAATTCCTGACGCTCAACCGACAGCTAACTGAAAGCATTACCTTCTCCGGTGCAGATAAAAAAGACTTAGTAAGCTACTGTCCCTTCCCCTTGGACTCGTTGGGTCCCCCAACTGCAGGTGTAGACCCATCTATGTCCACCGGACAGCTGCATTTAGACTCTCGATAAACACGTCCGCCTCAGTGCATTCCAATCTTTCCTCTTCTCTAAACCTGTTCTCTTTGCTGCCTCTCATTTTAGCTCAGGGTGTCACCTCATCATCCAAGCTAACACCCTAGCAGGTCACTCTTGATTTCTTCTGTCACATTATGTAGTCGGTAGCCTTTCAGCTCCTGGCTCAACCCCATTCAATGTCACCTTGTTTTCAAACCCCAGGGGCGCACCTGTCCTGCCTCCCTTTGCTCCCGAACCATTTTACATGCGTCTCTGATAGAGCCCTCACTGTATTTTGCTCTAATTGCATTTACATGTCAGTCTCTCCTACCCACGGTGAGGCATTCAGAGGCGGGTACCTGTACCTCCTTCATTCTGCCATCCTCATGACTTAGCGCCAGAGATCAGGTTTTGATGGAATGAATGGCTCGTAAGGGAGAATGCATGCATTCTGGAGCTCGCCGGCTCTCGCTACAGGAATAGGGCGCATCCCATAGCTGAACGCAGGCCACCGGGGACCGAGCAGCAGAATTCCTCACTTCCCAAGAGACGGACCTCGTGAGACATACCCCGTGGTGGGATTTCCCAGCCATAAATCCATTCACCCGTCTCCCTGTTACCTCCACACTTTCTATAAATATTTCAAGGCTCAAAGTTACCGCAGAGGTGTGTGAAAGATGTGTTTCTCTTTTCCCTTCTTTTAGGGTTAAGCAACATCATCGGCATCATAGTTTATATATCAGCCAATGCCGGAGACCCCGGGCAGCGTGACTCCAAAAAAAGCTACTCCTATGGCTGGTCCTTTTATTTCGGGGCCTTCTCTTTCATCATCGCAGAAATCGTGGGAGTTGTCGCTGTGCACATCTATATAGAAAAACATCAGCAGTTACGTGCCAAATCCCACTCGGAGCTCCTGAAGAAATCCACCTTTGCGCGCCTTCCGCCCTACAGGTATCGATTCCGGAGGCGCTCAAGTTCGCGCTCCACGGAGCCCAGATCCCGAGACCTGTCCCCCATCAGCAAAGGCTTCCACACCATCCCTTCCACTGACATCTCCATGTTCACCCTCTCCCGGGACCCCTCAAAGATCACCATGGGGACCCTCCTCAACTCCGACCGGGACCACGCTTTTCTACAGTTCCACAATTCCACGCCCAAAGAGTTCAAGGAGTCGCTGCATAATAATCCGGCCAACAGGCGCACTACGCCCGTCTGAACTGACCTCTGCCCTCTGACCTCCGCCCCAGCACAGCCGCGGGGGCAGCGAACAGAGGTGGCCGGGAGGTTGCATGGCATGGTCCTCGTGATGGTATTACTTTTTACAAAGAATGAAACCAAATGGACTCAGCCCTCTCCCAAACTTGGCCCGGGGCCCTCCGCGTCCTACCCCCCCTCCCCCAACTCCCAACCCTCCCCCTCCAGGTCCCCCCCCCACTTTTCAAGGCAACCCCATGATGTCATTTCTCTCTCTGTGTATCTGTGCCAGATGTTTTCCTCTCTTCCTTCTTTACTGGAAGGACCTCCACATTCTTCCCTCCTTGGAAGAGGACTTTACTCAAAGTCACGGGTGGTGGCTTGGGGGGGAGGGGGACCCCCGATTCCCCAGGCGCGTGCAGTTGTCCCCATTGCCCACTCACATGAATCCTCAGGACCCCAACCGCCCAGGTGGCCCCGAGGGAGGCATTCACCTTTACGTGTTAGAAAAACATGACCAGAAATCAAAGATGTCAGAGCCCTGAAGCAGCTAATGTAATAAGCACTCATGTTATTAAAGGTTTTGCCTTGTTGTAACCAACCAAGCTGGGCGTGTTCTGTTTCTTCCGGCTACTTCTTGCACAAACTCCCTGCCTGCCGTGGGACTGGCTCGCCTCTGTGTGAGAAGCTGAATTCTGCTCGTCACACGCTAACCACCAGGAAGGCTCCCCACCACCCTGTCACCCCTTGAGGCCAGCAAGGTGCTCCCCCGACCAGTGTCAGAGTCGGCGAGTCCCTCCCCTGAATCCCTGGAGGCTAGCTGGGGGCAAGCAAGCTGGCTCTGGTACCCAGGAGCTCTAGGCCCGGGGCGAGTGCACCTGACCTTGAAGCCTCAGTCTCCTCATCTGTACAATGGAACATGGTAGAGTGTTCTCCACAGAGTTGTGAGGCTCAAACAAAATGTCATGTGCAAATAATCAATACATAGGTTTTTAATTTTTGGATGTATTCCAAGCAGAGTGAGCACTATTTGAGTCAACGTGCACTGCTCTTACAAAACTCCTAGTTTTAGGAGTTAGGCTTAAACAACAGATATTTGCTGCTCATCCTTCTGGGCTGGGAAGTCCAAGATCAGGGCGCCGGCAGATTTGGTTCTTGGTGACTGTGGGGTGTCCCGATTGGGTGGAGGACGGTGGCGAGGGCCGGGCGAGGATTCGCCCAAAGCAGAACAGAAGAGAGAAGCGTTTATTGAATACACCACGATGGGGGCAGCGGGCAGGACAGCACAGGAGAGGCCGTCCTGCCGCAGGAGGTGGTGACGGGCCAGAGTCACAGGGCAGAGTCAGGGAGGGTGGGGTTGGGGGGGAGGGACGGATAGAGCTTTCCCTTTTTTTTGGTAATCTTAGGTGGGTTGCAAGTAGCCCATTGGTCAGCTGCATAGGGCCTGTGGCTTAAAGAGCCTCTTTGTATCCAGCCAGGTGTCACTGTGGGCCCTTTGTCTTGTCAAGTCTGTTGCCTAAGAGCCACTGGCGGCGGAGGGCTTTCCTTCTGGCTTGCAAATGGCCCCTTCTCACTGTGTCTTCACAGCTCGGAGGTGGCAGTTCTCTCGCTCTGTCTCTGTCTCTGTCTCTCTCTCTCCTTCTTCTTCTTAGGTAGCCACTATTCCCAGCACAGCCCGCCCCCCATGGAGCCCTAATTACCTCCCCATAGCCCCATCTGCAAATACCATCACAAGGAGAGCTAGGACTTCAACATATGAATTTGGGGGTTGAGGGGGATACAGCAAAAGCATCATTGCAGGACGACAGAAGCCAAATAGATGTTCTATATGGGGGGGGGGGGAGAGGGCCTGAGGGCATGGGGGAAGGACATTTGAATATTTTGAATATTCCGTACCAAAAGGCAAGAGAGGTCAAAGTCACCTCTGCCAACAGTGGCTTCCTAGAGGGCTTTTGGCCCACGCCAGATGCTCACACTTCCGGAGAGCCTTCCCACCTAGGGCTGCGATCACCGCAGAGGGCATAGCGATGGTCCCAAGAGCTCACACTTACCTAACGCTGTCACGTGCCAGGCTGTGATCTAGCAGCAGACACGTACTTCGTTATTTAATCCTGCCAGTAATAGCCCCATTTTTCCCAAGGAGGAAACTGAGGCAAGAGAGGTTACATGACTTGCCCAGACTTTACCATGGGACAGAAGGCCTGGGGAGGGAGGCGCTGGCCCACACCCACGCGGTGAATTTGTAGAACGCAGACTCCCAACAACTCATTTCATTTAACCCTTAAGAGTCGTCACATGCAGGGGCGCCTAGGTGGCTCAGTCGGTTGAGCGTCTGACTTCGGCTCAGGTCATGATCTCACAGTTTGTGAGTTCGAGCCCCGCGTCGGGCTCTATGCTGACAGCTCAGAGCTTGCTTAGGATTCTGTGTCTCCCTCTCTGTGCTCCTCCCCTGCTCACACTTTGTCTGTCTTCGTCTCTCTCAACAATAAATAAACATTAAAAAAAAATTTTTTTAAGAGTCATCTCATGCAAATTACACTCACATACATCAAATTATCTCACTGAATCCTTAAAACAACCCCGTGTGCAGTAGGAATTACTATCCTCATTTTGGCAAGTGAGGGAACAGAGGCTTGAAGAGGGAACGTGTGTAAGATGCTAACGAGCGGAACCGACATTGATAGTCAGCCTATTGATAGTCCCTAATGTGAGCCACCTCCTGGTCTACCAGGATTTTCTGGACCGGCCATCCGAGCACTACCCTCGTCAAGTTTTTCATAAGCACATACTACATCGACAATTACCTGTCGACCGTTTTTCTTTACATCGACTCGTTTTACTTCAAGAAGTAGGTTTGATAGTTGAACTTTATGTCACCGCTTTGAAAGGAAAACCGGAATCGTTCGCCGTAAGGAAATGGCAACTGGGAAAATAGACACAATCAAAACAAAGCCATCACGCCATCCTCTAGCTGCTGCCCGTTCGAAGCTGATGGCTGCTGCCTGATCTCTGTAAGAAGGATGTAACCAAAGTGTTAGAAAGATGTCAGAGATATTCTCTCACCGGGGAAGACACTTTCCTCGGTTTAATCAGAAAGATGCAAGGCGCACTGGGGGGGGGGTAACTGTCTCAGCTACGGGACCGGTGTCCTCTAACACTGCAGAGGTGACTCAGGTCCCATTGTCTCATCCCTGGCTTTGGGCTTCGAGGCTTCAGGCACCCTTGGAGAGGGAAGGATCTGAGGGATGGAGTGAACAGGTGACGAATCCTGTGAAGTAGAACAAGCCGCAGCCCGGAGCCCTGGGAACTAGGACTTTATCAAAAACAGGGCATCTGGGGAGATGGGGACGGAGAGAAAGGTCCCAGGGGCTTCACTAGCCAGACATCTGCTCTGGAGGCCAAGTACAAACTACAGGTACAAAGGCCAGACAGCAGGAAGAGAGACGTAGGCCCCTGACCCCCTGGAAGGACCCCCTGCCCACCTTTCCCACGTCCTGTTCCATCTAAGGTCTGCTCCCAGCAAGGCTTTGGCGCGTGCGGCCTCAGAGACCTAGGTGGCTGACATCACATGAAGACTAATATTACCACTCGCAGTTTGCAGTTTCCAGCCCGGCCAACCCCGTGAGGAGTATTCGTGGTCCCTGGCCCCCACTCTGTGTGCTGTGAACTTCACTTCTTTTGCCTCTTTTAATCCTCACTTTTGAGATAGGTACTCTTGTTGAATTGTTGATGTTGAAACTTGCGGCAAAGCAGGTGCTCAAAGCCGTGTCTGCCTGATTCCAAAGCGTAGGAAAGAGTCACCGCCTAAGCCTTGCCGACCACGATTCTCAAACCTCTTGCTCCTTACTGAGTCCCTCATCTTCTCCCCCAGATGCGGCTCCATTTCCCAGCCCGCTCATTTCTGGACCCGCAGCATCCTCCGGCCAATCTCAAGACCAGAACCCCTGGGTGTCTCTGTCACGCTCTGTGGCCCCCAGAGCTGATCTCTGGCCAAATTCTGTCTCTACCTTCCCAGAGCAGAGAGGTGGCTTGGCATAACCTTCAAACCCACACACGCTGCAGCCGCGTCTGCCCGTTTGAATCCCAACTCTGCATTCATCAGCCGTGAGAACTTCGGCGGGGTAATTGCCTTGTGCCTCAGCCTCTCCGTCTGTAAAATGGCCACAAACACAGTACTTACTCCTCAGGTGTGCTGTGAAGATTGGATGAGCTTACGCTCATAAAACACTTAGAAAAGTGCTTGAAACACAATCACCATGCACATGTTAGCTATTGTTTTAATCCAGTTCTCAGATTTCTATCTTTCCTATTTAGGCCCTTTCCCACACAGACAATTTGATTTTCCAGATCTTATAAAATTTTCTTAACGTTTATTTATTTTTGAGAGAGAGAGAGACAGAGCGCGAGCAGGTGAGGGACAGAGAGAGAGGGAGACACAGAATCCAAAGCAGGCTCCAGGCTCTGAGCTGCCAGCACAGAGCCCGACGTGGGGCTCGAACACATGGACTGCGAAATAATGACCTGAGCCAAAGTTGGGTGCTGAACCAGCTGAG